ATGTTTGGAAAATGTTTTTTTGTTTGTTAAATTCAAGTTTTTGTTTTTTTAAAGTAACGATCAAGCGGCCAGTGGCAGACAGCGAGGTAATCATAGCCTATGTTTGATCAATTTAGCCTTCTCAAATCATCACCACTTGACTAAAATAAAATCTATAGGCCTATATAAAATGCTTACAAAAAACAATGTTAGTTTAAATGGTTAACCTAGATAAATGTGTGCTATTAGGAGCGTATCCAATCGTTTGTGCAGAGAAGCTAAAGTTCACTTTGGAGTGGCCAGCACGATCACTTGCATTTTTTTCTTATAACAGTGGAAAGGAGCAGGAGCGCTTCACAAAAATGAACCGAAACCCTGCGAATATTCTATTTCCCCTGGAGCATTCATTATGGTAATTACTTGCTGGCGTTTTGCGGCAAGCTTTGCGTCCGCTTTAACATGGAACTCTTCCAGCACTCGCTGCTGCTGGACACTAAACACCGTCCGAGCCACTCTTGACAGTCGTGGTAGCACGGTCTCGTGTTGTTTCCACCAGCGCGGCTGATTGATGGATATCTAAAATATAAACATAAGGAGGAAGCAAGCCTGATGCCTGGCCCGTGTCTGAGCTATGACGTGAAAATTGTCCCGAAGCCATACATAAGTTGGGGCCGTTGGGCTCGGGCTGAAATGCAGGGCTCTAAAGCGCAGCTTGTTGCATTTAAGCAGCAAAAATACACACAAAATGACACCAAAATGGCCATCCTGGCCACACAGTTAAATAAATGATAATATTCAGTGATGTGAAATGTGGAGTAAGGTCTGGCGCAGTTGCAGCTTGTACTTATTACTAAAACAAGAAAGCAAACGAGTAGCATTAATAGTCATTCATTTTAGTTAACATATGCTATGATAATTTGAACAGATTTTTATTCTTATTGTAAAATAATGGAACATGTAGGTCATGAATATTGTCTCAAAAGTCAAAAATGTGTACGAACCCTGATTATAATGTTTTTGTTAGCCTATCCAGTTGAAGCCACTAGATGCGGCGCTGCTACGTTGTTAATTACAAATATTGGGGGAAAAGAGAACATCAATGGGAAGAAGATCGTTTACTTCAAAACTGAAAACAAGCCATTCACACACAATGCATATTTTGCACATTTTCTATAGGGACATCTATCAGCGTTGCACTCACGTCTCGCACAAAATAGCCGCATGTTTAGAAAGCCATGTAAAATTTATGCAAGTTCAACTTTGAAAAAAACGTATATCGAGAATTTATGGCGGGGTTTTTTTTTTCCCATCCCACTGCATCATGTTTTTAAATGAAAAATGTACTCTGTGTGATTGGTTTTCCACCCTTTAGTATTAAACTATGCATGCATACATGATGCTGTTTAAGCAACTTAATTAGTTTATAAATATTTTCTTAAACGTTATGCACTTTTTTTCACAGATTGCCGTTATCTTATGCTTTGAATGAAAGTCCATTAATAATATTTCGCTCCATGCGCCCTCTTATGGCCTCAGGAGAGAAGCCAAAAGCTATTCTTCACCATAACTGAAATTATGCATTTTAAATTCGAATTTTGATAATAATTGATCATTCATATATTTTGATTATATATATATATATATATATATAAATAAATCATAGTATTCAAATTAATGCAGTATTTTTAAAATTAAAATTTTAAATAATTAATTAAACGGTCAAATAGTGAGAATTCATAAATTTGTGACCATATCTTTACTGGTTGAAACATGGTACTTTTCAGATATATTTGTGTGCTGAATTATGAATTTAAAGTAGTTTATCAAAGTAGTGGTGAAATTTTGCAACACTAGATATTGTGGTTTTTATAATTAATGGCTTCCTTGTGCTATGATTTATACATGAATTATGCCTCTAATTGTGTCTAATAAAACAAAAGTCCTGTTGACTTGCATTTGAACAAATATTCTTATCTATATCCTTGTCCCCTTTTAGGTGGATATGGAACGTATGGATATGGCGGCAATAACTCTGGCTACAGTGAGTATTCTAACAAGGAACAATACTTACACAACTTTTAACATTAATTTTAATGCTACAAATGGACTCTTATTTTAAAGTTTTACCATTTCATTTCAACTGATCATGCTTAAAGATGCACATCTTTAAATATATACACAAAGGCTATAGCATTAAAATTATATACATATGGATATTGTATGTATACTCTCACACTTTAACTGCTTCTATTCTTGAACACTTGATGATTATCTAATCAAAATAAAAGCGCAGTGCTGAGTCTAGGAGAACTCACCGGTATCACACACACTCCGGACGCGTCGCGTTCAACTCGAGCAGCGGTCTAAAACAGTTTATTTAATCACCAAACGGACACGTTACTTCAAGAATGAACAATTTGGTATAGATGAGTTTGAAGTTCGGTGTTTAAAAAAAACGGAGCAAACGGAAAGAAAGTGCAACCTATATTATAGCGCTATAAATGAAGCACACAGACTTTATTAGAGCCACAGAAAGACAAACGTTTTGCTGAAAATGCACAATACACAATTCATTATGTACATTAACAACGATTCGGGACCAATATAATGTAATTTAAAAGAAAACTATGTGAATGGCGCGGCAGGATTTTCTGTCGACTGCATTTAAATCCGTGTCTGAAGTTTCCCGCTCTGTTCAGCGTGCAGTATCACGTGTCTAAACAAATAGCACGTGCTGTCAGTGATTTCAACCACTAGACAGCACTGTGTAATGACAGCAGACCCTTCTCAGCCGCTCCAGCAATGGACGCAACCCGGGAAAACTATCGGCATGGATTTTTGT